CGCCAAAACAGTGGTCCCAAGCTATAGCCGTCAATGCAATAGTACTCCGTACTACTAGCACAGATAGCGGTTCCTCGTCCAGGGCTGCAAGGTTAGCCACATGCCAGGCTTCATTGAGGTACTTGACACAATAGTTGGGAAAAGTCGAATTTGACCTGCTCGAGTGGCTGAGTGGATGATGGGTTCCGTAGCTCCAACCTACCAGACCAACTGGGGGGGTTCACGACTCATCCCTGGCCCAGACCAAACGTCTGCTGCAAAGCACCCCCGTCCACTTGTTTCGCGCCAGGACAACGTTGTCACTGGCTGCTCGTTTCGTTCTAGAAGACCTGTCGGAGCGCTTGGCTTTGTCACAGAACCGTAACGACGGATCCATGATTTGTGGGAATATATCAGGAACTGGTGAGCCCACATCAGTGGTCCGTAGCCATCGGCGGGCTGCTTGCATTCGTTTGCTCGCAGGCATACTCCGTACATCTGTGGTCTCTTCTTTTCTATCACTCGATCGAGTCGGTTCGACTACTCGCGCAGTGACCGACAACGTGCCAGATTGCGTAAATAATCCATTGTGTTTGCAGACTGAGCGAGACACGAAGCATCGCTCGTATTGCCTCAACAAGAGCTCAGAACTGCTTAGACGGGGAAGCCACGACCCGCCGCCGTCACTTCACGCCTTCCTTGAGCCCGCTGCCCTCTCCCTCACGCCGAAACTTTATTTTCCGTGGCATCCGCTCTTGCTTGGTCTTGTCTTTATTGCCCATTTCTCGCAGCAACCTCCTCCTGGGATCTTTGTATCCGCATCCCTCGTCTCGCTTGCGGGCTGCCGTCATCTCGATCCGCAGGCAGACTCTCAGCAGCCGACGAGGAGACACGACTGGCCCCAGGCTGACGCCTCTGGACCAGGCACTCGTACAAGCAGCATTAACGCCACCGACTGCAGAGCGCAAGACTCGAGGCGACTTGAGGCATTCGGGCCGCGTCCTGCAAAAAAGACGTCCGCCCAACAACAACCACGCGGGCTCCCGCATCGGGTCAGAGCTCCCGCGACAGTCCGCGACAGTCCGCGACAAGTCGTACCACACTGCAACGACCATCTTACAATTCATCACCAGTCCAAGCTTGAGCTTGTCGCTCGTCTACTACGACTACGGCCACTTCGCGATCTCGGAGCCGTGCGCCAGCATTATATTTGTCAATAGCATCACACCCGCCCACCGACTGGTCACTTTGCTACCTCGCCAGTTCTTTGCATCATCTCGGCATCCTCGCCGCATCGTTCTGCAGTCATCTCGACGTTGGCGTCGACTCGCCCCTCTCCCTCCCCAGCACGCGCCGTGTTTCTAGACCGAAATCCCACCTTGCTCCTCCTCACGATAAGATAAACCCCTCGATCTCTGGATGCGTCATGACCTACATTGTAAGTCTCCCACCTACATACAGTCGACAAATATCGGACAGCGCATGGCAGTGCTGCTGCAAGGCGCCACACACACAATGCCTGCAGGAAGCCTGCAGGAAGCCTGCATCCTCCCCCAACTCTTTCTAGCATCCTAGCCCTCTTTGCACATCTCCCCTCCCTTTGTTTCCTCTGTCGCAACAAGTGTGCTCCCTTTTAGCTGTCCTCGGGCTTGGTCTCGGCCGGCGTTTGCGCAGCTTGTACTTGTCTACCTTCTCCCGCGCTGACACCAATATGTCGCTTGCACACCATCTTCGCTCACCGCCTCTGTTGTCCAGTTGTTCTACATGGAGGCTCTTGTTGTATGTTTCTTCTGCGAACTTGGCCGGAGCTTGTTTGGTTTTGAAGAAACAAGACAATCTCCATCAACCCTGCTGCATATCGAGTCAGCTGCGCTGCAGTTGGACCTATGATTTGTCACGGAATCGAGACTCCGGCCCAGTTTAGGATACATACCTACATCGCACCTCGTTGCCTCTTGGGCATGTCTTGAACCTGTTATACTACTCAACAAGTCTCTTCCAAGCCCCGTCCATAATAGCAGCTCAAGTGATGCATTTTCGTGGACACATCACAGCTCACCATGGCCATTGGCAATAAGCTAACTACTGGTTTAAAGTTATGCCTTGCTCACTACTGTGACATCCATGGGCCAACCCCGTTGATGGTCACCGAGGGACTGAGAAGTCCGTGTTCTGTGTGTTTTGAGGAAGTTGATCCCATTAGTGCAGCAACCGGCAAAACGAAATGCGATGTTCGAACACGATCAGGTGGTCCGACGTCCGCGCCGCAATCTCAGTCTTCTGTTGCCCTTAATAATACGTTTAGGGATCTAAGCATCGGGCGCAGCGGCTCTGCACCTGCCTCGGAGCATGATGCCCACGCGCAACGTGCTGCTTTGCGCCGCTCCACCACAGCATCTGGTAATACAAACTACACAGTCAGCTCTTCGGCTCTCGACACGCCGCCAGAAAGCCCGCGGCCAGTTTTCCAGCAACCTCGCCGGGATTCAAGCTTCCGGCGCACTTATGATGACACTGTCACCAAGAAACAAGGCCCTTGTGATAATTGTGCTATGACGCTACCAAGGCGACAAACTTCTGGCGCAACCCCAGAGGACTATGCAACAGGGGCACATGGACCGACTCTACGCACCAAGGCTCCCGTCGAGAGGGTGTTTGGGCCTGCTGGACAGACCTCCCCACCTAACTCGCAGACCTCGAGTGACACGGATGGCGATCGCGAAACGAGTACGCGACGTGTGCGATCGCGGAGAACAGCCCCAACGGCGAGTAGCTCTAGAAATACGTCATGTTCCAGCACATCGACCTCATCAGAGCGAACTCCATATCACTTTCACTACGTCAACTACACATCTACCCACGAACCCATCCTGGCTGATTCCTTCTCGTTGATTCGTGCGTCATGTCTGCGTGCCCTATCCTTCGAGACCCTTCCTCGACCTCCGTCCACATCTACTCCGACTTCCTCGCCACAGCTTAATACATCCCCGTCATTTGTAACGACGCAGAGTCCGGGCTCGGCAGCAACAGGCGGGCCAATTTTTTTTGGCGATGCCCTAGCAGGTTATACCACAGCATACATCTTTCGCATTCCAGATGTACATGCTCGAGGGCACAAGCGAGTGTACGCGTTTTTAGCCCTTAGTACACACAAAGAGAGACTAGCGATGAAGACGTTTGCTATGATTTCAGCCGCCTTCAGGGATTTGGCCACCTGGATTCAGCAGCTCGCTGAAGCGGAAGCGGAACGCACGACAGCCAACTCGTCCCCCATTGGCAGTGTCATGTACGGTGGCGGAGCACAACCACAGCCCCAACCCTCTGCCTTTGACCCTCCTGCCGCAGTTGACCGGTCTGGCAGCAGCTTCCTGACTGGTGGGAGTGCCTTCACAAGGCGTATGGGCGGTGGACCGGGTGCTTCGTCACTAAAGGCCCGCGGGCTCGCGGAGCTCGTTGGACAGCCTGATTTTTTCATTGAGCTGCATGGCAAGTTTGTGCAACTCCTCTTCGAGGTTGGTGTCGCTTTGAATTCTTGAACCGGGATTAACAAGGCGGACCTTGGATTTCGATACGTTTGAATACGGTTTAATGTCCCACGACAAAGTATGGTCGCGACGATTTGGCCTCGTTCCTCGTGAATGGACTAAAGCTTGCCATTGCCGAACCATTGCTGTGGTCATGGTAAACTACCCACTGCATAGATTACGATTATTCTATACCCCATTTCTTGAGAAAGAGACGAAGATCGCCTTGCGTGCCTCTCTCCATCATCTTCTGCATAGCATCGGCGTTCAACATCATCCCTCTTGACAGAGGTCAGCTGGGTAATACTAATGCAAGCTCTATTTCTTTTTGACGTTTTATACGGAGTTTACGACCTAATTTTAGCCACTGCCCTTTTGGGGTATACGGTAAATGGTGTACGACGTTTTGTTAGAGCTCACCTCTTATTCAGAGCTTGTCAGTGTCATGTGCAGTTGCGCAAACACATGTCTGGAGTCTTTTGTACTTTATTCTGTTGATTTGACAAATTGGAAAAATCAACTTTGGTCAATACCCGATATCATAATGGATCGATGTCCATTGTTTCTGTTTTTTTTGTTTTTTTTTATTTTCTTTTACCAGGCGCAAACATGGTTTAAAATGGCACATGGGTCATGGGGCATATAGACACGAGGATCAATTCGGAAAAGGTCGGCATCACCAGGCTTACAAAATCAGCAATTTGGCTGTAAGGCAGGAAAAGTGTGGTTACGGCGGTGAATTGGTACACGGTATGCAAAGAAACGGTTCATTTTGTATTTTGAAGTGACGTGGTCACTGTGAATAGACGGTCGGAGAATACTCCCGCTTTGCGATGGTGCTTTGAACATTGTGTTTCTAGTTGTGCATTTTCCCAAACCAGGTTGTCCGAGTGATGATGAGTGCCGAATATCCAGACCGGAGTAGCATTGGACCTGAACTTTTGACGTGTCATGTTGTACTTGGGTATGCAATAGGATTTGAAATTCAGCAGACACCAGTCATGCAGGTTTGGTGATACAGAAACGGTGCGAAAGAGGTGGGAATAAGCTTGTGGTTTCATTGCATAGAGGTACTGGTGGCTCACTGTCACAATACCGAACGCTACTGCACCGTGTCGGGCTTCCCGTCCCAAGCTGAAATCCATTAAGCCGTCGGGATACGAGCCAGCGTGGCGTCTCACGATATGGTCGCTGGAAGCCGTGGTGACGAAGAAACGCAAATATGTTATGTAGCTCGAAACGACTAATAGTACTAAATATACAATATTTTGCCTATTGTCCTACAGCACTGAAAGGTAGATCGTGCTTCCAGCTCAGTTGGGTCTATTAGTTACAGCAACATTCCCGTTGATATGCTCCCCTGTGACCTTGATCCGGAATTCGCCTCCGGTCTGCAACTATCCTATTCTTCACCGTGGATTTCAGAATATTGCAATGCTGAAGCTTCGTTGGCAGCATCCCCAATACCACGACAACACTGCCACACCTCGCACATCCTTATTTGTAAAAGTCAAACTTGTTATCGTCACTCGTACCCTTGACTTGGCTGGAGTATGCATCCTCCAAGTCGCTCTGAATGATGTTGTATCGGTTCTTGCGGACCGCCCGCAAACCAGCCTCCTGCATGATGGCGGCAATAATGGCGCCTGAAAGAGGGTCGTTGCGTACAATCAAGCTGTCCAGGTCGACTTCAGGGGCGAGCGACATCTTGCTGGCAATAGTGGTGAAGATGAGACGACGTTCGCGGCGATCCCGCAGCGAGGGGAACTCAATCTTTCGGTCCAACCGACCGGGACGCAGCAAAGCGGGATCCAGAGTATCGGCACGGTTCGTGGCCATGATGACCTTGACGTTGGAGGTTTGGTCGAATCCGTCCATCTGGTTAAGAAGTTCAAGCAAAATACGTTGGACTTCACGATCGGCACCAGTTTGGGCATCAAAACGCTTGGTGGCAATAGCGTCGATTTCGTCAATGAAGATGATGGCAGGTGAGTTTTCGCGGGCCATTCGAAAGACATCTCGGACCATTCGGGGACCTTCTCCGAGATACTTCTGAACGAATTCAGAGCCAACAACTCGAATAAAGCTGGCAGTGGTCGAGTTGGCGACGGCTTTGACAAGCATAGTCTTGCCCGTTCCCGGGGGGCCGTACAACAGAACACCACGAGGGGGGTCAATACCAATCTGCTTGTAGAGGTCGAAATGTGTCAAGGGTAGTTCAACAGCCTCCCGAATCTCCTGCTTCTGCATATCCAACCCGCCAACATCGGCATATGTCACATCAGGTTTCTCGTCTGCGCCAAGCATGGCAATGGAAGAGTCGGCTTCAGGGGGGAGGATGTCGACGAGGGCATTTGAGTGTCGATGGAGGGCGACAGAGGATGAAGGCTTGAGCAACTCGCGGTCAAGGGTAGACAGGATCCGGACAACATAGTTAGATCCGGTACTTGACTGAACGATACCCGTGCTGCAAAACGAGACTTGGGTCAGCGAACAATTTCTCGCAAGGACAATTATAGGACAAATATACTTTTGATCGATGGCTTCCATGAATTGGCCGATGACTAACGGCACACTCTGAATGCGCTTGATTTCTTCCTGGGCTCGCACCAGCTCACGCTTCAGGCTCCTAAGAAATATGCTGTGTTAGATATTGTTTCCGGTTCCATGGCCCCATGGCGAGGACGTGTGGGAGTGGCGAATAATGGAAGGTATACCTTTGCTCATCCTTGATGTACTCTTCTTGCAGCTGAATATATCTGTAAACAGTCAGTACAAGGAGTTCGCGGTAGTATATGTCGGCGGCTCCGGCTGAGAATAGAATTCGCAGGAAAATATGCCAAGACTCAAGAAACATGGCGACAAAAAATGAGAATGTGCTTACTCCAACTGTCTCTGCAACTTCTTCAGCGAGGCGTAGTCATCGCCGCCCTCTGTCGGTAGGCCCTCGAAGTTATCAATAGTGGGGATTGTTGACGGAGCGGCCTTTTTATGTGGCGGCGCGTGGTTGACCTGGCTTTCAACTGCAATGTCGCCCATTTTATGGCAGCAACGCAGCTACCTCTGCGACGAGGATATGATGTGAGATGGGTTGCGAACGGAGGTGGAAAGCGGTCGAAGTCGTGATTCAGATACCCAGTTGGTAGCGAATGCACGAAGTTAGTCACGTTGCAATGTGTGATACAATGTCGAGATGGACGAGATTCGTGAAGGGCGATGCTGAGAGGTTGATGAAGGATGGACTGTGATGGCATCATGCAGAAGCTCTGCGCACCGTAGGCGTCAATGGCGAACGTAGCCTCGCAGAGCCTGGAGGAGCTCGAATGCTTAGTCATGTTGGTTGGTTGGTGGATCACTGGCTTAAAAGGGAAGCATGCACGTGACGAGGCATGCAGACGACCGACCCGAGAGACTACACCGACGACTGCTGAGGTACAAGTGCCTGAACAGCCTTCCAGGCATGCGTCAAACTCGAAGCCAAGCGAACATGAATTCCAGGACACCACGTTACTTAGAGCCATGAACTCTTAGCATGCAGCAGTAATGTGGCTGCTGCTTGGTGTCTTTGCCCAATGCTGAACCTGGATGGATTGGTCTAGGTCAAACCACGACGCTACACAAGGATGCCCAAGCGACCTGGATTTCAACTGACGGTAGCGCAGAGGAAGCGCCTGAAGGGAGGAACGGAGAAGAATGAGATGTCCCCGAGTGGTGCAGGTGGCTCGCATATGCAGACTGGGCAGGCATTTCATGCATTTAGGCGCTCAGCAAGCTATTAAGCAAGGTATCGCGTCCAATTGCTTGAAACAACGACTTGGGAAGGGTCGTGAGGTTGGCCGGAGGCAGGCTGTCGATACGGAGCCCGGTCAAATGGAATATTACTCCAGACGAGAGTGAATGTGTCAATACCCTAAGTAACCACCATTTTGGCCACTTAATCCCACTAACTAGTTGTTCAAGGCAACATGCCTAGATGTTTGTCTATCAGGGGGCATTATGCCGAGGTATATCAGATACATGCAATGTAATGTAATGCAACATAGGAGCATATAAGTCATGGGTGGTATTTTGTTGGGTCAAATCGTTTTGGCCTCGTACACCATAGAATGGAGTAGAGTTGGACCCCAGGTTCGGTCAAGCTCGACGACAAGCTATTATTAGCATTCTTACAGGAGCAGAAGATGATACATTCGAGGCTTGGTCGGGCCTGGAGCTGGAATGGCCTGGTGTTCTGGATCTGGTACTCTCAGTGCCGACGTTGCGTGAATCCGAAAAGACTCCAACTTGGTCAATGTCTCAGCCCTGGTGGTCTCCGTACCCGCAATCAGAAAGATGGATTGATGGATCCCCAACCACCAACCCTGGTCTCATCTGGTAGCATTTTCGCTTGTTCGACTGCATAATAAAAAGCCAGTTGAGGCTCAGACTAGCTGTCACGAGATGGTACCTCGCCAAGGTTGGGCTCGAGCCTGGACGAGCAAGCTATTGCACCGGGTACTCGGTACATGGGCCGGAGACAAATGCCGACGGTGAGAACACAGCCAAACACACTGTCGGAGTACTCTTGCATGTCGAATGAGACGCTTTTTCTGTGAGCTAAAAGTCTATGTATGATCAATCATGGCACAGGTCCCATCTCCTGTCTCGATCCCCTGTCCTGTCCATTTCGCTCTGGTCTGGCTACTAGTTTACTCGGTGAGTACTCCGGTCTCCATACATACTACGCCAGGCACCGATGTACCCAGGTACTTCTTAGAGGTATCCTGTCATTTGTTCAATTTCACGACCACGAATGGTCCACCACGGGCTGGTGCGTTTCCACACTGCCAGCACATGGAATAGTGGACTTGCTCGCTTTGTATTCGGTAGCTTGCCAGGACACGCAGTGACATTCATGTCCTGACTGCGGTTGCGGCTCTAGATGTCACTAGCTCCACATGTCACCGCAGACTGAATGTCACTCCTCCCGAACGCTCACCTGTCTTGCACCTGCGTCCTGTTGTCAGGCCTCCATGTCTTTATCTCGTCTCTCTCTCCGCTCATCCATCTCTTTCCTCTCTTCTTTTCCTTCCGTCCAGTCCCTCGCCGCTACTTATTACTCTACTAAAGCCAAGTAGCTACGAATGCCATTTTCAATCTGCATCCGCCTTTCAAGCCTTGAACATTCGCCATCCTCCACCTGCCCTCACCTCCTCCTGCCTCCGCCTTGACGGCCCACGCGCTCTCCTTAGTCTTCCCGTAGTCGGCGCCTCTTTGATTCAACGTTCGGTCGGCTGCAACAGTCAAAGTGCGGCTCTCGCCCATCAACCGCCCGTCACCCACCTGGATATTGCCCATCCCATCCCCCGATCCGGCACGACTAGCACGACCAGTCACCCTCCTGTTCTGGACCCTACTGCAGAGTAGTCACCACACCAATCGACCTCAGTTCTTCGTCATCTGCCCCCACATCTCTCCTCATCCCGACTTCTTCTCGCCTCTCTCAACAAGCACCGTTTTCAACCACCGCCGTTTTCTCCGACTGTACATACCCGCCTCGCCACCTGCCAGCCATCGTCTGCTCGTCTCTCTTGTCTTGCCGCATATCCTCGTCCTCGGTCCGCCAGCTCTCGCCATGTCGTCATCCATCACCATTCCGACAACCCGATCTTCGGCTTCACCAGATGCATTTCACGCCTCGTCAAAGACTCTTGGTGGCTCATCCATGAGCTCCTATTCAAGCTCTCCCTCACGTTCTTCGCCTTCTACGAGCCCCAATACCAAGATGCTGCACACACGACGACCCAGTTTGTTGAGTAAGTGCTAGCTTGGACCTGTGCACCCTTATCGTGCAATCCACCGGCCTTCTTGCGTCAGGTTCCTAGCCTGGGTCTGCTTGGGAAACTTTGTCAGCCAGAGCTATAACGAGTCTCTTCGCCCAAAGTGTTTGCACTATTTACTGACTCCTGTGACAGGCTCGGCCATCTCCAAGCAGGAGAGCACCGTCATCAACATTGGCGACCCTGATGGACCACCCCGTCTGGTAGGCTGCTCCCCTCTCACTAGACTGTTGTCCATATCCTATGAACAATGCTAAAACTATAACCCAGATCTCATACCTGTCTTCTAGTCAAGGATTTGTCTGGAATCCAGGTTCGTTTACTGGCCTTTGCCCATTTCAAGCCGTTACTAGTAATTAACCCTGTGCGCCTAGAAATATTCTTGCCCTCATATGTCGACTGCGACTACGTCCCGCTCGAGAACCAGCGCGAGCCGGTCCACGAAATTATTCTCAGCGACGAAGAATCTCGGAATATGCTACCCCATTAACAGACTATGGCTGGATCCCACTCCATGCATATTTGATTGCAGGGTCCGGACACCCTGGGGCTCAGACATATATCTCCGGTCTAAACTATTTTTTACGGGAGCTGGTCACTGATTCCACAGCGCAAGCTTTACTTTCTCTGGCAGACATTGATTCTTTACGCCTCTACCCCTTTCCATTCTTCAACTCTTTTTTATGACTTGTTTTCAACTTGTAATCCAATGACATCACCAATGGTGTCTTCCTTTTTTTTTCTCAAAGAAAAAATTCCCTTGCTTCAATGTTCGTTGCGCAGGGCAGAAGGCGATCCTATGATGCATAAGGCACTACATCTACCATGGCACTATTGAGCTCGGCGTACATGATGGCTAACGCGGCTCTTGGGCCAGCACGGGCAGAGGATACCGGGAGAAACGCATGATGACGACTTTTACGGATATTATGGGCAGTTCTAGCCCTGATGAAACTAGGGTTTGACGAATGAAGCTCAACGGTGCAAGGAGCGTTCGGAGTTCAGTTTTTTCGTCTTTCGTTCTATCCACATTCTTGTCGCTTCTATATGTTTGGTTCCTCGTTTGCTTTTAGCCTCGGTTTAGGTAGACTATGTGTGTTGGCTCCAGCTGGAGACTGGGTTTCTAGAGCACACACGGGGTGTTTCTAGGCGTTTGTATTCCATAAGATCTCCTCTTGACTGCAGTGTCCAAGTTGCTCACCATTGACAGTGCATGGAATTGTAGTAATTGCTCCTTAACAAGTAACAGTACCAGTGGTCTTAGTTGAAACTCGACTGAGGCTCGACTTGTATCTTGACATGTAGCCGACATGGGTTGCCCCTTTCAACGAATGAAGGCTGGAGAATGACTCGTGACTCTGGTGATGGCAATTCACTTTGCAACATATCGTTCATCCGAAAATAGCATACGGTTACAGCCATTCAAAACACAGCACTCCTCGCCTCTTGCAACATGAAACAAGGACCGTCAAAAGGTCAAGGACACGGCACGGAGCACAAAGCACAGCACGAAGCAGGGATGTGAGACTGCCCCGCCCAATGGCACCTGCCAATTCGGTTACTAGTAACTTACTAACTCCTACGAGTACTACTAGTACACACCTAGGTACATATGTACAATTCGCACCTGGCACTTACTCCACATTTCAACCACAAAATTAGTGAGAGTGAGCAAGGGTCCAATGGTCTATGGAGGGTTGCGTTGTTCTCGTTTGGAGCAATAAATTCATGTGATGGCTTAAAGGCCCGCCTGTGGGCTGATGGGTATTGACATCTATGGCAGACTACTCCGTAACTGATTAGCCGTTGCTTCGGACTAATCTTGCATTTCCCGGATGATTTCCCGAATATCCTTTGAGTCATTGCGTGCAGGCTCGATTTTACATCCCCTCACTGGGCAACCGGGTTGATTGAGGCCACTGGTGTATTTCAATGTCATGATTTTGTTGAAATAGGCGTTGACCCTACCTGCAGAGTGGAACTTTTCACAGCAACCCCGTTCTTTCGGATGCGTAACCACTTTTGGCTGCTCGGCAGGATATATGAGCTCATGGAGATGGTGTATCGGGCTGCGCAACACCGAATAAAACATCATTTATACTGTCTCTCGCATAATTAACACGGCGAAGAAGAGAAGACAAAAGAAGAATGTCTCCGCTGCTGCTGTTTAAATTTCAATATATACATCACCATCTGGTCATTCGTGATCCAGCAAACTTGCCCCACCGACATTGAACCCACTCGCGACTTTCCAACCCGTTATACTCGACAGTAAACAACCACTCACTTCCCGACACCAAGGGAATAGGACAAAAAACACCGACAATTCCACATCCTCCCCCTTCCCCTTCCACCGCCGACATGGACCAAGACTCGGCCGCCTCCCAAGCCCAGCGCAAAATCGAGCTCCAATCCCCCCAAGACCTAGCCTACCTCGTGGCCAAAGTGCGCGGCGCAGCAGTCGCCCGCATCAACGAAGCCTTCCCCCACGTCCCCGGCCAAGGCGAAGACGAGCTCCGGAACCAAATCGAATCCCTGGTCAACGAGGTACGCTCCCGTGGCGCACACGGCTCCCCCCCCCCCCCCCCCCCTTCTCCTTCCTCATCCACCAGCAAGTCCAGCAACTCACCCAAGGCAGTACATCGACAAGACCTTCACCCTCGCCGCGCCGAACCTGTCCATCAACGGCCTCCCCGTCTCCTCGACCGAGTACCTCTCGCCGTCGCCCGCCACGCACGACACCCACGAGCCCTTCGACGCCCGCAAGCGCCAGCGCGTCGCGGAGCTCATTTCCCAAGAGGAAAAGCTACTCGAGGAAGTGGCGGCGCTGAAGCGCTCCGTGCCCGGCAAGGCGGCGGACGAGCAGGCCGCGCGCGTCCGGGACGCGATCCGACGCGACGAGGAGATGGTCGAGGCGCGCAGGGCGGCAGTCGCCGTCGAGGCGGGCAAGGAAGGCGGCAGCTTGCGCGTAGACAGGCTGGAGAGACAGGACGGTGTGGAGGCCGGGTTCAGGGGCGCCGTCGAGGCGCTGGGCAGACTCAAGAGGGACATGCCGTCTGCTGTGGCCAAGATGGAGAGGGCGAGGGTGGCAGGCGAGTACGTGTTGGATGCGAAGTAGGCTCTTCCTTTTTTTGGGGGGGGAGGAGGCGGTTCAACGTGTAATTTGGAAATGGGCATGCATCGCGTACGGCGTTTGAGGGACCGGGATACCACTTCTCTTTTTTTTTTCCCTTTTTTTCCCTTTTTTCCATTTTTCTCTTTTGTGTAATACGCTACGACTCGGACCACGACACGACCGACGTCTACAGTTGGGCATATGCAACTTTTTATTTTTCTTACAGAAATCGAATACCTAGCGCAGAATCATAGGATACCTTCAATTACACCCTGCAAACCAGCAGAATTGAGACTGAAATCTATTTTCTGTCCAGTTTATATGAGTAGTTCTCTTTATCTTCTCCCAGGCCATATATCCCTGCAAACAGTTGAACACACTGCAAGTAATGACAACGGCACCTGACCACTTGACCGAAGAAAGACATGTAGGAATAAAAAAATTTTAGCATCTCTGTATCGAATACTTTTTTCTCGTGTATGTTGGAGCCACCCATATCAATCAAACATCAGGTGCCTTTAATTTCCATAGAACACGTCTCTCCCAACTCTCCCAAGACAAATACTCTCCAGCTCAGCTGTCTACTCCCAACACGCCATTCTACACCAAACCCCGGGCATTTCTTGTTTTCTTTAGCCAAGTCGAGAGCTCTTCACACGCGTCCTGCTATTTTCAGAAAAAGGTGTCAAATACAAATATGCGAAAAATAAGCAGTGTTTAAGCAGCAGCAGTTTGCACTGTCTCATCCTTGGCTGTTTCGGCGATAGGGGCAGGCTCAGTAGCGGGACCATCTTGGGCCGTCTCAATCTTGGAGCCGTTGTTTTGGATAGTCTTCTCGTCTGCCTTCTTCTCCCACCAGGCAGGTCGGGCCCATTGAGGGTCGTGCCATGGGCCGGCATCACTGTTTTCGCACCCACCCTCACAGGTGCAAGTACCGCCAAACTCAACGGGTAGACTCTCTTGATCGATATGCTTCAGCAGCTCGCTCTGGTAGCCACTGCCAAGAATGTGGATCTTCTTGACGGTGACGGGGTCAAGCCAGCCCTTGACAACGCTCCAAACAGTTGAAAACCCCCACGGGGCGTTGATAAGGAATAGCTTTCCCAGGCGCTCAGGGTAGTAGTTCTGGGAGATGACTGAGGCCTGGCGAACGTAGGAATAGACGGACGGGACCTTGGTCACAGTTACGCCTTTGAGGTCCATGACGGTGCAGCAAGTCTCCAAAAGGTTGCCGACCTTGCGAGAGCAGGCGGGCAGTCGTGGGTCGGCGAGCCGCTCGTACTCGACGGCAAGGTTGGTAAGCATTCGGTCTGCGGTGCTGATTTTGTACATGGCGGTCAGGTCAATACCGCCAAGTGTCTCGATGTAGATGGGACGACCATCCTGTTCATGGGGGTCAGTACAAGCTCCACCAAATGACACATTACTTTATAGTAAGCGGGTCGTATTCACCTTGTCCGTCTTGTGGTAGAACTGCTTGTAGTACTTGGCAATCTCAGGCTTCTCGGGGTAGTCCCAGATGGGAACGGTCTCGTCGAGCTTGGTCTCCTTTCGCCACTTTTCGGTATCAACGAACCTGTTGAGCCATGTTAGAGCCTCCCTTATTTGTTTATCGATGTCAGGATAGGGCAGTGAAGGGAGAGATCTTACATAGCCTTGGACAACTTGACATCCCACTTGCGCGCTCGCAGGAATCGCAACTACCACATGAAACGAAATGTTAGCCCCTGCCTTGGTGACGTGGCAAGATGTCATTTTCTTTTTGATTTCCCGCTGCTTGTATACGAGAAGAATACAGGCCAACATTCCAAAGCATGTGTCAAAACTTTGGGGATTTACCTACCAAAGTCAATGTGTCCAGACGATCCGTGTATCCCTCAGCTTCAAGCATCATACGCAGCTGGTGGACCTGGGCAATTTGCTGCTCATTAAGGTGACCAGCATGGCCATCTTGACGCTCGGCGGCAGTAACCGGGAAGTCGTAGTTATCGTACTTCTTGTCGATATCCATGGTCGGCAGTGCGGTAAAGGGGTTGGAGGGAAATGCTGTTTTTTTGTGAGAGGAGACTTCTTAAATTTCTAGAAAAGTCTGGGGGGGGACGGGAGGAGCGGGGGAGTTGTGCAGGGCCCAAGTCAACAAAGGGAGCAAGTCTTTGACAGCGGGATATCAAAGGGGAGGAAAAAGGATAAAGGAGGGAGTGAGGAGCAAAGAGTTGGAGGATGATGATGACGAGGCGGAGAATGTACTTTGGCCAACTGCGTATTATGGCAATTAGCGGTGTTGTCGGGTTCCCTCCCAATAGAAATAGAGTCCCGACGTCCCCAACTTGAGAATTGACCAGGCAAAGGCAAGGCACCGACTCCAAAGCTCGAGAACTTGGTGGGGCATTTTGCATTTGCCAAGCCTCTGCCCCAACTTACGCCCAAGGTGGCTAGCGCCTCCAAACTCATGCCTCTACAATCCATGTTACTATTATAATCCGGGTATGCAGTTGTTCTGCCGCCAAATCACTACAGTTGCCAGTGTGCCTGTCGTCCCTCCACACGACTTGGACTTAGACATGGTCACTTGCAGCGCTGGAACACTGCCACTGAAGTATCCAGGTACATTGTAAGATTGGATTGTACGGAGTACGGAGTGCCAAGTTCCATCCATCCCGTAACACAAGGCACCTAGTACATACTTACATAAGTAAGGGCAGGGTCTGGGGCGGGCCAGTGGCTACTCAGCACCCAATTGTTTACAACGTGCCCTGTAGTCGGTGCAGGGGCTACCACTCGGCACCGTGACCGTGACCGACAAGTGACCACGGTGGCAGAGGCCCTGGTGGTCCTGGTCCCTGACAAACCGTGCTGGTCAGTTTTTCACACGTGCACCATCACGAGGTGATAAGATACGAATATCTTGCTGTCAGGGCAGCTGTTGCTGGCAGGACATCAGCACATCAACAAGCAAACCCATGTCCGGTTGACTTCTTTTCAACCGTGGCATGCAGAGCTACATACGGACAGTCTAAACCTCCAATTGACCGCCAATAACACATGGCAACGCCCACATCACCATGAGGTACCCTCCGCACCGGATAACTCTCAACGTTGTCGCGCGGCACATCCACAGCGCAGTCACATCTCGAAGACCTCGTCGCTCCTTCCATCTCACCACACCAGCGAGCTTGCCGCGAAAACGACACTTCTTTACCTCGAATCCTTTCCTCTCCAACAACTCCGCCGACCAAGTCAAATCTGCCTCGCAACCCCTCAGGAATGAATCTCCAACTCTGTCAGCCGCTGCCGCCAAGCGCAAACCCACCCGCGCAACCACAGCCAAAAACTCCCTCCGCCGAGTCGCCATCATCGCACAGCAACCAAAGCGTGTAGGCGACAAGCCAAGCCCCGACGACACTGAAACTGAGATTGAGACCACCATAAGCGCAACATGCATCGCTGAATCATTCAACATGCCCATGGTGGTCGAGATACTCTCCTCACACGGATTCGCCATTGACCCAGACAAAACGGGGTTCGACGCCAGCGAAGTCGTCCACGCCAAGGGCGTCAATGGCGGAGACATCTTTGTCTTCCCCTCCGGTACGATAGTAACATGGTCGCTGCCACCGGACGTCGTCACGAAACAGATCCTCCGCGCCGCCGAAGAACCACACCCCGCCCAGCTCTGCGAGGTTGAAGACCTCGACTTCATCACCGACACCACCCGTGCAGAATCCACCATGAAAGGCGACATGGTCGTCCTCGGCACCCGCCGCGAGCACAAAGACGGCGACACCCTCGACACAACCCTCGCCAAAATCGCCTTCTCGTCTGGACTCGCGAGAAGCACCAAGCTCGCTGTTCTCGAGAGCGCATTGACCGCGTACTTTGAAAGCACTCGCAACATCCCTGCCATCTTATCCCAGGGCTCCGGTGTCCCCCTTGGCCGCAAATTCATCCTCCAAAAGACGGGTGAATTACTCAGTCTGCGAGCCCGACTCAACCACTACTCTGAGTTGACCGACTCCCTACCCGACATCTTCTGGGACAGCAAATCCGAGCTGGGACTCGAGGGGTACTACGACCAAGTCGGGCGCGCACTCGACGTGAACGTACGGATTCGCACGCTGAACCAAAAGATGGATTATGCACAGGAAATAGCAAGTGTGTTGCGCGAAATGTCGAGCGAGCAACACGGCACGAGGTTGGAACTAATCATCATCTTGTTAATTGCGGTCGAGGTGGTGTTTGAGTTGAGAAGGATTATTCTGGAATGGGGACAAGAGAGGGAGGCTGCCAGGGCGGCCAAGGCGGCAAATGAGGCCGTTGTATAACAAGAGAATGGACGTTCAGAGTGTATATATATCATGCATTAGACCCGGACCTTTTTGTATCATGGTACGTGTGTGTTATGGCGTTCGGCGGACGGCAGGGCCTAGATCTGTTTCAATGATACCCACTCAGCTCAACCATTCCTGATGCGCATTGCCGTCCACTCAAGTTTGACGTGGAACGCATACATACTAATGAGGTATAACCATCACCGATTTATGCCGCTTGGTCCAGGGCAATTTATACGTCTATTCCGCTCGGGGCCAACCCCACGCCTCGCAAAAAGAGTCCTGCCTCATTTAGCTACAAATCTGGTGTACAAAGTCCCCGCGCGGGATATATTCCAGGCGCCACTACGCTGCCTCCCCCCGAAATCGCGTCTACTCCCCAGTCGTTTACATAGTTCCATTTCCCGTCCTTTTCTTGCCAATAGGAGAAAAAATAATAATGATAAAATGAGAAACAAGACAACCAATTGGCTTTTTACTCCTAAATACGCCCTTGACCTTGGTGGTTGAGAAAAAACGTCAAAAGGGGTAAAGATATAGTTCCCCCTCTTCTCGGGAAAAAAAAAAGACTAGCCCGGTCGTCATCTTCTAATAACCTCTTTCCCACTAACTTCGTTTTGTGCCTATACCCTCGTCTACAACTATGATTCTGGGCCAGGTACAGGCTGCTGCTGC